AGGGCCACCGTCGCAAGGCCCTGGGGACCCTGGGGCTGCAGAGCAGTGACAACAAAGCTGAGCTGGGATGGGAGGGAGGGGGTGACCCCGGGGATCAGTGCGGGGGCGTGGGGCTCCGGGACGGGGCAGTGCGAGGCGGAGGCGACACTGGGGGCAGAGGACGGAGAGTGGCGGAGCAGCTGCGCAGGGGCAGGAGTTTGTTCAGGAGCCCTGTGGGGAGAGAAGAGGGGGTGACCACCGGCATGGGGGACAGTGTGTCCCCAGGGCTCTGCCCCGGCGCTATCGGGGGACACGCTCCATATGGACGCGGTGGCCCCGGGGCGCGGGGGGGGACGGGTGGGGGGAGAGGGCCGTTACCTGCAGCCTGGGGAGCGAGGCGCCCTGGAACGCGGAGAGACAAGGTCAGCGTCGGAGCAGGGGCAGCCCCCGCCCCGCGCGCAGGGGACACCCCAGACCCCAGGGACCCCCCCCACCCAGCGTCCCGACCGCTCACCTTCTTGCGCACGTAGAGGAAGAGCCCCAGCGCCAGGAAGATGAGCCCCAACACGAAGCCCCCCACCCCCGTCAGCATCTTGCTCCTGGCGGCGTCCGGCTGCAGCTCTGCGGGGACGAGAGCAGGGGCTGAGGGCTGGGGGGGGCCCCCGTCCCCCTCCCCACCTGGAGCAGGGCCTTGGGCCCCCACCCCGGGCTGCCGGACAGGGCAGGGCCTTACCCCAGTCCTGGGTGACGGGGTGCTGCAGGCTGACGTGCTCCACCTGGCACGTGTAGGTGTCCCCGCGCTGCGGGGTGGTTTCCAGCATCACCAGCACCTGGTAGGTCCAGTCTCCGTTCTGGATCACGTCCGTGGACACCACGCGCTCCGTCTCCTCCTGCCCGTTCTTGAACCACTTCACCTCAATCTCCGCGGGGTAAAATCCCGTCACGGCGCAAACCAGCCTGTCCGTCTGGGGCAGGGAGCTCGACTGCATGGGGGAGACCTTCACCTTGGGCTGAACTGGGGGAGAGCGAGGGAGAGCTGGGAAGGGGCTGGGAGAGCACAGGGGCCACCCAGCCTGGCCCAGGGCTGTCCCCGTGGTGCCCACGCAGGACGTGGGCCAGGGAGGGTGCAAGGAGGTCAGGGAAGGGCGCAGGGGCGGCCCAGGGCCCTGCCCACGTGCGGCAGGGACGCGCCCTCCCCTCCTGCGAGCCCGGGGGCTTGGCTTGTGCCCATCCCCCAGGGAAATGTTCTGCCACGCACTCACCTCTCCTCTCCACGGTGAAAGGGGTCACCACCCCGTAGTTGTGTCGGCAGTACGTGTCCGCTGCAGCCCGTGCCTGCTCCAGTATGTCCGGCTGGCTGTTCCAGGACTTGGCTTGGGGCTCGCCCAGGGGGGTGTCGGGCACATAGAGCCCCACATCGCTGTCGAAGTGCATGAACTGCTCCCGGTTGTGGATGCGCCTCTCCACAAACCTCACCCGCTCGGTGCCGTTGAGGAACTGACACTCATACACAGCCAGCTCCTGGAAAACCGCTGTTTGTGCAGGGAGGCCGGTCAGGGAGGCCGGGTCCCC